GGGAGGCCCCCCTCCCCAATTTGCAGGCATTCTTGTATCGCACGTGGGTGTTGTGACTTATGACCGGCGATCCCGCCAAAATGGTGGATCATGGGGATGCCTTTTGGGCGAAACAGCGAAACCCAAAGCAACCCACCCATTTGTTGGGTTGCTCCCCGCTTTCACACAATTTCACGTGCCTCTCATCCTTTTTGCGACTCCGTTCAATTTGAGGGACTGACTCTGACTTGGTAAACAAAAATAATCAAATCTTTGGATGTAGGGATTTATCCTGCCTGGGCTAATATGGGTCCCTTTGTTGGGACTCTTTTTCTCATATCCTGGGCCTGTTTAAAAAGAATACTGATCCTGTCATGGTGCGTTTATTTTCTCTTCTTTATTTTAGTGTAGGGTATCACTTTCGTTCAATCCGTGTCAATACGTCTGCTTAAAACCCCCTTCGGGGGAACACACTACAAGTTTCACGGTCAGAAACCTATGCTTGACAAGTCCCCCGCGCTGGGCGGTCGCCATTCAATATTCACTCCGATCGATACATCATTTGCTAGTCCCGAAATTTAAAGTCAATCCAAAATCAAGTAATTGGAATAGTCCCGCAAATCAAATCAATCAAACATGAATAATCTGCTCCCGGAAAAAGAATTGGACCCCCAAGCAAGGGACCCCCAAGGTGAGCTCTTGTTTGATCCCCCGGGGAGCTTGATTGGAATTTGGGCCAATGGAGGCTGTTCCACCGTTTCAACCCAAAAGATCAAATCCAAGGCTCCTTTAGTAGCTATCAAGACACCAGGATCATGCCAAAGCTCCGATTTTTCCTCAGGGTCCGATTTTTAAGGCCGGCAGTCCTTCGAGATCTATCAACAGAAATCCGATGGCGGGACCTTTTGGAGCTCCCATGTTGACGTGTGAGTGGAGCACCCTCCTCCAGATGCTTGCGAGAAAACCCTTGAAAAGTGGCCATTTCAGAATTGTCGGTGGGTTCACCTCACCAAAAGAAGGGGGTGATCGATCCCAGGTGCCAAAGTCTAGGCTTACAAACATAGCTGTCCTTTTAGGGGAAATAGATGGGTTTCCCTGGTAGATGATCTTCAACCACCAGGTAAACCAGGAATCGCCATCTATTTTTCAATCAAAACAACCAAAAAAACACCCATGGTTACAAATATGCTACACACCTTCCCGTGATGGGAACCCGTCCAGTCGGTGCCTGGAAGATCCTAAGGCACTGGGAGGGGTTGGAACGCCACATGCCCAGCGCGAGCACGGCGTCGCAGATCACGCATTGCCTGCGGGTCCACGGACGCGCAGCGCGTGGGTGCGCTCGGCACCCGGCCGGAACGCTGGAACGCGGCAGTTCTCCGCATGGAAAGACCCTGAGACCCAACGAAGTCTGGGTCAAGTAAAAAAGAGTTAAGCCAAAGTCTTTTATCAGGCTTTCAGGGTCTTTATCAGTCTTCAGGCTTTTAGCATGGGCTCCAAGTAAAAGACTGGTAAGAGCCCAAATCATATTGTCCATCACCTAATCCTTCGTGCATGCATTTATCATCATCTTTGGGTTATTTGTCCCACCCCCAACAAATTGAATGAGCGTCGCGAATTGTGAGGGTACTTCGTTTGTGCCGGTTTAGAGGTAAACCACAGGGAAGCCACCTGAGCCATAATCAACACCAGGTATTAAAATGGTCTACCCAAACCAATGTAAAGAACTACAAAGGCGGCCGCACATCATTCTCGTTGGGCCTGTCCTCTAACCTTCACTTACCCGGGTTTTGATCATGGCTCACCTATTCTAGGGCTTCCCCTCAAAACCTTGAACATCTCAACCGGCGACACCTATAAAGCGGAACCATCCTCACCGTTGCCGGGGACCCCCAAAACAGAGAGAGCAAAGAGAGCCACAATGGGGGTCGGGTCGTGGAGTGAGAGCAGGAAGGGCTTAAAGCTGGATTCACATTCCGGAAGCAGAACGAGTGTAGGGAACAATCCATGCACGTGCATTTTTGATAGGTAGATTTGCACAAAGAACGACATTGGACATCCACCCTTCTCCGCCGTTCGAGTAGGGTAGATGTTTCGTTTGTTGCCACATCGGTCGGCTTACCAATCTTTCGCCGAAATCAACCCCAAAGACCACAACGAAGCTCGCCGTGCTTTCTCCCATCGGCGCGCCCCATCTTTAGGCACCGTATCTGAATCACTGAAGCCCGCGGTTGTTGGACTATATCATGTATGGAAACCCTTGGTGTATCTCCAATCTCCCAGGACCATGGATCAACGTGGGTGCGCGTGTTTTCTCCTTTTGCCGGCTTGGAACACCGGAGCCTTGTTGGTGCTCAAGGAAAGCCAAGGGCCAGGATCTATTTTAACACGCACTCATATTAAACACCTGAGCAGAGAAACATGGAACATAGTTTGATCTATCCAACTAGCACTGGGACAAAACAGGCGTGCCCGAGAGGAACTTTCAACTTAAGATTGCAGTGCTTCCCTTCAGTGATAGACATACGTCCCGCTTGAAACCGTGCGGCATGGGTGTGTCAAGACAAGAGACCCGGCCAAAGGTTTGGTGTCATGCTTGCTCCCCTTGCTTGATCACAGCATTTTCAGGGTGCCATGTCACTCATGTTTCTTGATTGAAGGATAACTTAGACTCACAATTTTACATCGTTCAGTCACTCACCCACCCACTCACTTCCGACGCCCACACACGCACGCACGCAAGCAACCAAACAACCAAGCACAGACGCTCTCATTCACTCACTCACTCATTCACTCCTTCTACCAAGCCACAGAGCCGACCCCAACCGACACAGCGACCCCCAACTCCACGAACTCCTGCCTGAACTGATTGCTAAATATGTATATATGTATTTACATACATATATCAATATATATATATATGTATATGTATCTATATATATATATTTATACACAAGTTTACCTGTGGAATATTTACCTCAGGTCTTCAACATGGCCATGGGTTCATATATTTGGATGTGGGTGCACATTCCGGACGTGTTGCTTTTATTGGGTACCTTTTGAGGTTGAAATCCCTGTTTCGGTGCGTCTCAAAATAGGGAAGCTTCCGTTTAAAGCCATCCAAAAGGGGTACCCTAGGTAAAAAAGACACCCCCATTTTGATGCATACACATATTTTTCCCTCAATGGGCCAATCTGGTGATGTTGAACACCACGACAAAGGGCACCTCCCATATGGGTATGTTTCTTTTAAGGGGACACCCGGAAAGTGTATTCCCTTTAACACCCCAACAAAAGGGGTACCCTCACAACAAAACAGACCGACAGACCCATAAAAACAACCTTTGACTAGGTCCTCCAGTTTAGAGGTTAGAACAAGGGCACCCTTTTTTCTGTAGTCTCTTTTCCCCCAAAAAAGAGTAAAAGGGCACTACTGGGGGACCTAGTTGATCATCTACCCTTCCAAGCTCTTCCTTCCGAGCTGCAGCACTTGGGGCGGTGGCATATGCCCCATCTCCGGCCTCAGGCAAGGAACATGCGACATGTGTCTCACTACGGATCGACGAATCGAGAGCCAACCGGCAACCACACTCTTTGTTTACTGAACATGGGTGACTTTTTTTCTTCGAGGGACCGCTTTTTGTGCTTGTGAAGGGAGAAAGGGAAACTAAAAGGAAAAGGACACCTACCATTTTGGGGGGTCCAATCTTCAAAAAAGTCCGCACACAAAATTGATCTCGCTCAAGTCCGGGAACTCAAGCAACCCGCCAGAGGCTCTGGAAAAGATAACACTCATCACTTTCTCTGTTGGTTTTTGCTGGGAACATTTTACGAGGTCTTTGTTGCACCCAGGCAACCTTCAGAAACCATTTTGCACGGAACGTCTTCGCCCAGGTCCACACAAATTGCAGATGCATTCGTGGTCATTCTCTCTTTGCAGGGCTTCGGAACCGACGTTTCTGCTGAAGCCCTGATTTACCTTGCCACGGTTGGCTGGGTGTTCTCAAGATCTGTGGTTGACCCAATCGCACAGCTTCCTTGGGCAAGCTCTGTGTGTCAGCAAAAAACAGCAAACAAGAGCGACCGGGAAATTAGAAGCGTGTATTCACTTGAATCCTGCTAGCGAATGTTGTTCAATCAGGGGCCCGTTCTCAAACTAGACGTCAAGGGGGAAAGGTAGGTAATTAGCAAACCTCAGCCAAGCTGCCGACATACACCGTACATCACGTGGCAATGCATTTGTTTTCGGCAGCCCGACGCGTGCCGATGTCGAGGCCGTGAGCATGTAGCGTCGTGACCCGAAACGGACAACAGCGAAAAACACCCTCCGTTTAAGAAACACCTATAACTATACATACATACATATATATATATATATGTGTGTGTTCAGGGCAACCAACTAGCAGGGATACAGGCGGAACCAGGGATGCAGGAGGATTCCCCCCCCAAATGCACCTTGACTAAGTTTGATATGAGAATGGCGCCAAGGGAATCCCCCCATATCCGCGCTCCCTCCGTATCCCCGCTTGTTCGTTTGTCCAAAGTGTGTGAAAGTGTGCGGTGTCCTGCGCGTGTTTTATCGAGGCAGCAACCCAGGAGCTACCAACTCAAAAGACACGTCAGACTGAGCGACGTAGAAGCACAAGCAAGACCTGTAGACCTGTAGACATGCTTGAACCCTTGGATGGAATCTGTTTGAGTTGCTGCCCCATGGGTCCAACTGGGACAAAGTAAGCCAGAGACTCGTAGAGGAGGAAAGGATGCATTCAATCACGCAAACTGTTTGTTGGGTCTGGCCCAACTCTTTTTGACACCCTGTAAATGGGTATGTGCCAAAATAGGAGGACCCCAAATGGTTGGTTTTGCCGCTTAGCTTTAAAACCACCCTAAAAAGGCTCCCCTCAAAACACACACCGCAAGTCCCAAATGCGCGGCAGGCCGCAAATACAGCAGGGCCGTGTGCTTGTTGTTGGCCGGAACTCTTTTCCGAGCGTTGCTGATCCACCTTGGGCACCGCTGGGGAACCAACGAGAAGGTTCTCTACTAGGTCCTCCAGTAGAGAGGTTAGAATAAGTTGGTACCTTTTTGTTTTCGTTTTTGATTTTTCTCTAGTCTATTTTAGTAGGGGAACCCTCCCCCAAAAAAGGGTAACAGGGTACTACTGGGGGACCTAGTCTAAATATTTCATCCTGACCCATCACCCAACCAAAAGAAAACTCACTTGAAATGCACCCGAAAGGTGCTGCTTAACTTCCGGTTGCTTAAGTCCCCAGGAAAAAACATATTTGCAGTGGTCTTAAATTCCCCTTAAAACCAACAAGGGAAAATACACATATTATTAAGCAAATGGAAGTATGTATTCCATCCTGAAACATCACCCCACCAAAAGAAAGCACTTGACATACACCCAAGAAGTGACGTTCAAAACCGCAGGAGAAATACAGAGAGCCTACGATCTCTCCGAAGCTTGATACTGTTTCTGGACAACACCACCCATTAAATGTAGGACTTTCGTCCAACAATGCCCAAGCCAAAGTGATGCTCGTTGGCCATGTGTTTCAAGGCTGAAACATGGCAACCTCCCATCCCACGGATGTACATTGCGGGGTGCCTGTGGGGAGTACTTCCATCGACTAACGCTCCGGTACCTGGAGTCTCCATGACCCCTAAAAAATGGGGGTCATTACCCAAAATTAAGGGGTCATGGACCCATTTTTTACGGGTCATGGAGACTCTAGGTACCAGTGAAGTCTATGTGGCTGTCTGTTTTTGAGGGTACTGCTTTTTGTGGCCGCGCATTGTGGGGGGTCCCCGCCAAAAAGGACACAGCCATATTCTCTGCACGGTTTGTTTCTTGTGAATAAAGTCCTTCAAGTTCCCATCATCTTCCTCAGTGGGTCAAGGGTGATCGTTGCTTTTCAGCCCCCTTCAAAGCGCCGCGCCTTCAGTGCCCTTGGCAAGCCGCAAAGACCAAAAAAAAACGGTCAACTCACTGGTTGAGTGGATGGCCCAGAAAAACTTCAAACTTTATATTTACCACTAAAATGGTCTTCCCAAGAACCTCAAAGTTCATGAACTCAGGAAGTGAGTAGACACGTTCTCACGCTCCACATGCGATTGGCCCCCCGCGTGGGAAAACTAGAGCCTCTCATGGTGATGAAACTTTGGTGCAGCCCTTCGTGTCTCACTAAGCGTGTCTCAAAATTGACGGAATCGAATACGGTTTTGCTTTTAATTTGGTTGCTTCTCAGCCCCCTACAATGGATTATAGATAAACGGGTGTTTGCTTTTGAGGGTACCCAATTGTTGGGTGGTTTTAAAGGAACACGAAATCGAAAACCACCATTTGGGCGGGTCCAGTTTAACCAAAAAAGGAAAAGAAGAGACACTCCCAAATCAGGCTCTTCTGCAGGCGAGGCTACTTGGCTGGTGGCACGTTGGGGTTCCTGAAGTAGTCCTGACCTCGCACGCGTCGCATCTATAGCCCTAAAGCCTTTGACGCACTCACCCCTGGAAAAGGAATCACATCTTTTGGTCAAGACCAGTAGAAAAAATAGGAAACTATGCCCAGTAGTGCTCAATTTATTTCAACACCAACAAGGGAAAACAACACATATTCCTTTCAGCAAATGGAATAAATTAATCACATGTGTCAGGCCAGGTACATGTTGCTTTGTCGCTTTGTCTAAACCTTTTGACGCGGGAGGTTGGGTGGGGGAAATTCCTAGGTGAACAAAATAGTCTGTTACAATTGGCTTCTTCTTTGCCGGTGTGCCTGGCTCATGTCCTCATGTCACACCTAGCGTCGCCAGATTTCTCACTTCGTGGAAACACTGCACTCGGTTGCCCGGACGAGTGTCAAGGCAGTGGCTCAAGAACGGTGCTTGGTTGACGTTGGAAGGGGAGCAAAAAAAAACATGTTTTTAGCAGTTAAGTGGTGGGATTTCAACCACTAAACCACAATAGCGGTCCGAGAAAAAGTTTGCCAAGAACACAGGAGCGTTTTGTTTTTATTGAAAACCGGAAAAACAGAAAAGAAAAAAAAGTGCTAGAAAAGCTAACTTGTTGTCCACTGCAGTTTGAACAAAGGTCAACATTTCATCTCTGTTTGTTTCTTCTCATTTGAGAGAGCCATGAAATAACTTACAACTCCACCAAACAAGCTGGCTCACCAGATCTCCCAAGTCCTCTGAGGGAACAAGTAAATTGGCTGCTCATGTAAACCATGCTCAAAGCTCTCTGTTGGTGGTTGGGGATGATCATTGGATCCCGGGTGACAACCATGGCCCAAGAGGGATGACCTGATGCGGTAAAGTGATCAAAATGGGCGACCCCCGGGATCACTTAAAACCGCCATAAGGGTGAAGCTGTCACTGAACTGGACCCAGTATGAGCTGACAACATTCTTGGTCTACTGGCTTGGAGACGACAGCCTAGAGCGACAGCTCACTTCTAATGGTCATATCATGCCGTACTCAGGGGCAAACGCGTCCAGCCAACCTTGGCTCACATTCGCCGACCCTGAACTACTGTGCATGCACGAAATTCTGCACTACTTTGAAGCCGTGGGAACGCATTGTTTGTGGGCATTTTGCAGGGCATCCAAGGCTCCTGATGGATGTGTTTGGGGCTCAAAAAAAACACGCTTCCTTTTTGAGGCCCTCAAGGCAACTTCGGGGGGCTCCAAAAAAAAACGGAGAAAAAAGAAAGAAAACAAAAAACACTTTTTGGACCCGACCCCTAAAGTTCCAACCGTTAAAACGACTTGGGGTGTACTTGGTGCCGGGTTCTGCATAGCACCGCCCCAGGTCCTTGGATCGGATGCGCCGAGGCGCCGCCCATGATGAGAAGCGTCACCGCGGAGCTCGGCCACTTGGCCGGCCTGACGCGTTTGTTTTGTTGGCGCACGGTGAGAAGGGGACCGAATCCATGTCCATTCATCTTTTTTGGAATAGAAAAAAAAGGTATACCTTTCCTGTCCATTCTGAACCCAGGGATCCGAATCTTTCAACGCATCTTTTTTTGGGAATAGAGAAAAAAGGGGAGCTTCCATGTCCATTCTGAACCCAGGAGTTCAGGGATCCCAATCTTTCAACAGAAAACCAGGGAAAACGGATCCGGTTCTTGAAAAGAACCATGGCTGAAAAGGATGGAAAAGGAATCAACCCCTATGGGGGTCCAGCCGCTTCGGCCCATGCCGTCTTTTTCTACGGGCTTCGGCCGGTGTTCCTGGTGGCGTCCCGTGAAACCCACCTGAAGGGGCAGCTTTGCTCAACAAACCCTGAAGTTTGTGTTCATGGTCCATTTGGGTCATTTGGGGCTTTTGTTTGAGTCTCGCTACATCTTGGTTCCTTGTTGGTCTGGTTTACAGGAGACAAGCTTGAGGGAAGTGGCGGGTTGGAGGGCGACGGACTTTTTGAGCCACAGCCGCGATATCCCCAACAGCATGCGGTGCTCGTTAGGGCCGCCCCGGACCAGCCCGCAGCTTATCTGGGCTGAGACCCCAAAGCTTTCAGCTGTTGGGGAAAAACATACAGAAGCCACTATTTTGCATGCCGTTTTGTTTCCAAAAAAAAACATGATTCTTTTTTTTTTCTCCGGCTATCCACGAGTTTAGTCCAAACAAAACATCACATTCCTACACCAAAGAATTTTGCGGAATCTCAAGACACATACATGTGCCTGTTCCGGGGCAATCCTACAAGGCCTCCCATTTGCAAAACCAATAAAACCATTCCTGGAAGACATTCAATTTGCAGAAACAATAACAAAAAGCCTTGATGAAACCCCAAGAACACAAAGTCCTGGGGGCATTTTTTGGTCAATGCCGTTTGTTTGGGGGTGTTTGTATTTTTGCTTTTTTGGTTCTCCTCGAGTTTTTGTTGTCTGCAGATTGGGCCATTTTCCCGGAAGACTTCTCTCACGCAACGGCTTTTTCCTCTACACGTCGGATGCCACTACGTCCCTTATGTTCAGACACAAAGAACGGTGCGATTGCCGCTCCCTGCATTCGCACACCAAGGAATCGCATGTCGCAGGTGTAATGGATTTACGGAGGCCAGGTGCGTCGTTTATATCACGACATTCTTCTCTTTGTCTTGGTTTCTTTATGTACTGTTAATCCGCGTTGGGGATGGAATAGAGATTCCATGGGAAGGACAATATGTTCCAAAGGTGAACAAATTCCTGATTTTCTGATGTCATCACATTCCCTTCTTTCCTTGGCAAATAGAATCGTGGAACGCAACTAACATTGTTTATCCGTGTCCCTCCCTCACTTCCACTCTTGTGTGCTGCTGCGGTTAAAGGGATTGAGGGATGAGGATGGAATAGCATAAAACACGAAGCAACCAAAGCCAGGTTGAAATCATATCTGATGTTTCGTCTCTTTTTGGTTGATCGATTCATCAATTTCTCAGCTTATTAAATTGTCTGCCTCCAAGGCCATGATGAGAAACACAGACAGCCGATGGAAGAGGGACTAAAGAGTTGCAATGATGCTGCGGCAAACGCGGATGCTGTGCTGGATCCCCTTTCAAACAGACCTGAGTTAGCTCGTGTCCCATCAATAAAACAACTAGTAGGCGTAATTCACACCCACTCAAGGCAGCCTTTTAAATCATAAGGACCCCCACCGCGCGGTAGACAATCACTTCAGAACGCTAAAAAAAATCACTTGTGAACGCTGCCACTTTCGATCACTTCCGAACACTAAAAAAAATCACTTCAAAACACTAAGCACCCGGAACGCCGAAAGGGTTGCAAAACCCGGTCAGTCAAAAAGATCACTTCCGAACGCAGGCGTCCCAGCCCAGGATCACTTCCGTACGCAGGCAGGCGTCCCAGCCCAGGGGGGGGTGATAAACACACCCGCTGAAGCTCTACACCCAAATGTGCAAATTCATCTGGTTCTGGGGGTGGGGGGTGGGGTGGGGGGGGGGCATGATAAGCACACCCGCTGAAGCTCTATACCCAAATGTGCAAATTCATCTGGTTCTGGGGGTGGGGGGTGGGGTGGGGG